CTAGATCTAGGCAGGGCTCAGAGCCAGATGGAGCTCCCTGGACTCATCCCAAAATGAACCCATAGAAATGAAGAAGAAGCATTGACATCCTCTCTGGTTGAAAGGTTCTTTGAGGACAAGCAGAGCTTTGTACCTTTGCTTAGCATCGAGAACAGCCCCGAAGTGGGGAGGGGGCAGTAATTTAGTGCAGGTGAGGCAATTACAGTCAACTGGCTGCTACAGCATGTCCCTTGGCAAGAGATGTAAATTCCAACCAAGGGCTTCTCATATATCAAAGGATATTAGCTTGTTCCAAAAGTAAAATACTCCCTGCTCCACAAGGCCGACAACCTCTAGGCTGGGAGCAGAGAGTAATTCAGTTCCAATGGAAAACCATTTACTTTTGAAACAAGCTGAAACAAAAGCTTCTTTTGAGATTTCCAACGTGCCCAGATGGCCAGGTTTCCTTTCCTGACCTATTCCGGGTCCTTTGCTCTTGGCAGAAGAGGAGATAGGAGAGTCAATTGCTGCCATAGTGCCACCCAGGAGGTAATGAACAACAAAGAAGGAAATTTCATTTCAAAGGATTGAAATGTAGAGAATGGTGGGAAAGCTGTTGCTAGATGTACGCAAATGACTTCTATCATACGCTGGGAGAGATGCAAGCATTGGACCCCCCAAAAAAGTCTGAACCATAATTCAGTTAGAAAGTCTTTGTTTAGAGAAATCAGATTATGCTAGGAAAATAGTTAAATTCAGGGCTGCACTAATTTTAGGACAGAACAGTGGAACTAGTCAACAAAAGAGCCTGTTGTAAGTGAAATGGTCCTTCTGATGTAAATCACATTTAATGTTATGGCTTTACCACTACTGATGTACTACCGTAGGTGAGAAACGAAGAGAAAAGTGGGCAAGAGAGAGCAGGTGGCCTCATGTTTTCTGAGTAGCAGTGTGCAAGATAACATAGTCATGCAAGGATATGTCTTTTTCCAGATGGAAGATTTGCTCAGATAAAAACCTTCTCCTGAATGAATGGCAGAGCTCATCTGGGCAGCTCATTTAGCAGTGGCTTTGTGCCAGCTGGTTTCATCTTTCAGGTCCTCCAGGCAGGCAGTTCTTGAGCCAGCATAGAGCAAGTACATGGCAACCCAGTGACTCAGCAACCCACTAAAATATGATCAAACTACAAGCTGTTTCTAAAGCTCCAGGCAGAATTCCATTACAGTTCCATTCCTACACCTTTAGCAACTCCTCCATGGCCCTAACTCAGATTCTAGTTCATATATGCTGTTTCTAGAAGAATTCCTCTGTTACTTCCATATGCTGTCAGTATGTCAATATATTGCATATATTATTAGTTGATGGGATATGGCCAACTATTTGTTGGCTTGCAAATTAGCCTCTGAATTAGAGATCCTAGTTCAAAAGAACAGGGTGATCAAGTTTGGGGTAAACATAGGATATGGTTACATTAGGGCACATTGGCCACAATTTGCCAAAGGCTAACTAGTTTTGTTTCCCTACCATTAGCAGGCACTAAGGCTGGTAATCTGACCATTTTGTCTACATCTTATTAAACTATTAATTGAAAGACTTCTCAGCAAAGCCATGCTGGGTGATGGTGGTTAATATTCAGGGTCATCTACCGACCATCATTGTACATGAAAGATATATTCTTTCCCACTGTCCAGCCATCAAGTTCCATGCAGTAGCTACACATTTAAAAAGAATATTATACAGTTATGTCTGAAATATTATGCCCTATCTAAAAGCCAAATTAATATATGTTTAATTAATTGTTTATGTCTCCTATCTCAAATGCATGACTTTAGATGGCCAACAATAAAAACAACCAAAACATCGTAAAAGCAACCAAAATGAAAAACAACAGAAATACCAATGTATCATTTGGGAGCACTTATTTAACAGTCTCGACCAGGAAACAGGCTTACTTGTGCTATCAGGGCCCCAGGCTTGATTAAAAAAAGGGTTTTCAATGCCTTGCAAAAGGCCAGCAGGGTTCAGGCAAGTTTAATCTCTGAGGGAATGCTAGAGGATTGGGTACCAGAGCAGAAAAGGCTGTTCCTGTACCCATTAGATGGAACTCTCTTGTGGACAGGACCTGGAGCGTGCTACTTCTGCTAGATCTAACAGGATGGGTGGATACCACAGGGGACAGATGAGGCTGTCTGTAGGCTAATCATACTTCTTCCCCAAAATTTACATCTTTAGGATATTACAAAACATATGCTTCAATGAAGCATTATTACTATGTCAAATAACACAGGTTTACTCACTTGTTCTGTAAACAAACAGGGCAGGATGCAGTAAATTTGACATATGAATATGGTCTGATATTACCGAATGAAGCTGATGAAGGTAATTACAGGAAATTAAAGTTTAGGTATAATGCCAAACAATAAGGTCAAAATCAGGTACAAATTTGTGTCATTTAGGTTGTTATGTGTATTTGGGAGTATGAGCAAAAACTGGCAAATGCAGTGTGAGGTAGGGGTGGTACAGAGCAAAATTGTTTTTTGGTAGTCACTGCAAAATTTATGAGAGAAAGTTTAATATAGATTTGGTAATTCAGAGAAAACATATGATAAATAAAGCAAATGGAAAGCATATGTTAAATAGGCTTGAATTGTGGAGTGTTGTAAAATAGTGTTAAAAGTTGCTTGCTAAATAGCATGTGATATAAAATGCACATAAGTAAAGAATTTGTAATAAATGAATGCTTACTAAATGGTTCCATACTCAGCAGGGAATAGAACAAGGATGGGTGATGTCCCTTTGATTTTTTACTGTATGTATGGATCAAGTTATAAAGAATATCTTCCATTAAAACATGTTTCTGTAATAGAAGCTAAGAATGAGGGCGAAATGGAAACTTGAATGAAATGATTGGCCCATACTGTAAATGTTCCGGTAGAATTGAAGCTTATATCTGGAAGTTCAGTGGAGATTCAGCAAGACAGAGCTTATAACCAGCTTCATTACAAATTACAGCAAAAAAACTTAATTTTAAAACTTGTGCAATATCCTGTATATTCAGACATTCTGTAAATAAGAATTCAGATTCAGGATAAATGGTTTATGTACTGGATTAATCTAAAGCACTCTGACTAATTCCTGGAACTTTGGATATTATTTCTAAAGTAGTTTGTCAGGACAATATCTACGAAGTAGAGTTTCTTGAATATATAACTCAAAAGTTTATGTGCACAATAATAGATTTTGAAATGCTCAGGATGGAGGAATAGCTAATGACAGAATTAGCAGAGATGGCAAAATTGACTTCCTTGATTAGAGAAAGGATCATTGTTTATTAGGAACTACAAAACTCCCTATGGACTTCTGCTGAACAAAAAAGAAAAAGAACTTGTGATTTATGGGTTTGATGATTACAAAGGATGGACTATACAAAAGTAGATTATAGAAAGAAGGAAATTATATTATAATCTTAAAGAGAAAGTACAATTTAGACGAACTGTTTGTAGCTGCTGTTAAGTTTGGAAGCCGCCACAACTTTTTTTTCTTCTTCCTCTTTCTTTTCTTTCTTATTTACTATTTTTGTCCGTTTTATTTCTTTTTATAAAATATGTATTATTTATCTTGATAAAGACCTTTTTAATAAAAATTGCACAAACACAGAACTTTTGAGAATAGCCACATAGCTGGCATCTTCTTTAAACTACTGCCATCTTGTGGGCATTTTAGAAAGCCCAATGTAAGGACCGGCTTTTTAAATGTGATAATATATTCCAAATTGACTGTAGAACTTTGTCCTTTATTATTTTTATTTGAAAGTTTAATGCATGCACCTCCACGTATATTTGAAAAACCATAAATAAAAATCACTCGGTGAATTCCCCCCAAAAAGTGAATTCTCAAATTTCACCACAAAAATTATCTACTCTACATTGCTCAAGCTTTTACTTAGTTATCCACCAGATTTGGCATTTTTCTGCATGTAAGAATAGTTAAATTGGCTCAGTTTAAACTAGCCTGATGATGTTTATGTGCCATCAAGTCAACTCTATATAGAGATATTCTGGCTCTGTCCCCAGCTTGCTGCTATAATTGAGTACATCCCTCTTTCCTTGCACTGCAGCATTAGAGCCCTCTCCAGAGAGTTAGGCACGTGTCCAAAGTAGGATAATTTGAACTTGGTCATTTGATTTCTTTGTTTGATGAACCATTTCTTTGCTTTCTTCGCTGTCCATTGTATTCTCAAGATTCTTCTCCACTTCCAAAATTCAAAAGCATCAAAACTTTCTCCTGGCTTCTTCGAAACCCAACTTTTATTTCCACAGCGCATCACAGGGGAAACCCATTGACTACATAATTCTGATCTTTATAGCTCCAGATGTATCAAGGCACCCAAACATGTTTGCCAGGGAGTTCGTTGCTACTCTACCCAGTGCTAGCCTTTTGACTTCAAACAACATATTTGCCGGATAGTGTTAACCTAAAACAGATTCTGTAAAACAAATGGTCAAAAAAATGATCAAAAAAATGGGAGAGTTAAATAAAACACGGGTACAGGTTTTTAAAAAGTTTATATTGGAAATGGAATTATAAGTTAAAAAAAAAATCAGAAAAAAATCAATATGGACCAGACATAGATTTGTCCAATTTTTTCTGAGAAGTCTAGTATTTCACAAGAAACATTGTTATTTAAGCCATTGCACACCTTACTTATGTGATTTACCCCCAACAGTTAGTAGAACTTGCCATATCAATCTATAAATTCTATAGTGCTGTAGAACAAAAGCATGGTGTAGCATTCCATGCTTATTTCTAAGAAAAGCATCTGGGTTATTCATTATTGAATATATGGTACAAGTACTTCTGCCCACTATTATGGTTTTTTTTTTTTTGTTAAATTGATTTTAGAAGTTTGTAATTATTAGAGGGCAGTATAATTTTTTTTTTTTGAAGAAACCTAAATACAACTGTTCCCCACTTTTTAGGGATCCTTTCCTTTCTCTTCCAAGAGCAGTTTTTCTTAAAGCATGCTTCACAAGCAAATTGCAGGTATCCTGTGTGCAACTGGTTGCAAAAAATAATTGAACCTTGTGCCTAGTTCTGCTCCACCACTGACCTGCTAAGGTGCGTACGTAAGAGTATGCAGATCTTTCAGGGTGATGTGAGGTGGAATCCTCCACTGAACAAAAGGGCAAAACAAACCAATTTCATCTGTTGGTTCCTGTTGCGGTTGCTATTGTTGGTATTCCTTTTGGCTGAAGTCTGAAAGTAGAGGATCACATGGCTGTAGGTCCTCTGGCTTCAGACCAATGGTGTATGTATATATAGTCCTTGAATTAACTGGTCACTTAGTTACCATTTGAAATTATAACACTTCCCCCCCCCAAAAGGTACTTATGACCAGTTTCTGGCATTCCAACAGCCGCGACCTCAGGGCCACAAAACTGCATTTCAAGGTGCTTGGCAGTCAGGCCACATTTATGGCCATTTTCAGTGTTCCACAGTCACAAGAAAGGATTTACATTTTTGTAAATCAAAATAACCAAAATCTGGTGTTTACTTCCGATTTCTGATAAAAGCCAGCCATAGTGAATAATGTATTTGATTAATGACAATGATATTAACTTCACCATAACAAAAGTAGAATTGGGTCGATCATGTGATGACTCACTTTATGACTGTCACAATGTATGACCATATTGCCAGGCTTAATTATGATTCTAAGTCGAGATAGTATATAAGGTACATTAAACAAAAAGTATTTTCCGTTAGAAACAGCTGCTTAGAATTCTGTAGTCTTAAAAAGTTAATGCAATAGAGTTCTAGGGGCAGATAGCATGACCAACTGAAGCGGCTCAATGAAGCAAGTGTTATACACCAATGCAAAATTGAGGGATATCTCTAATGGTTTAAAAGTCCTTTTGTATTTCTGTTTAAATTAACGTTATTGGAAGGCCAAGGTAAATATGCAGATCTCTATTAAAGAACTCAACATCTTTGCTAAGCATACAAACAAGTTGCAAGCATAATTCCCCGATCTCCCAAAATTCCTTTTTATTCCCTCATTAACATAAATACTGGTTTAAACTCGTTTAAATTTATTTTTCTCTCTCTGATATCACTTACATAGTTATAAAGCATTTTTATACAGAATGTATGGGATCCATTTTGCCACTGGGACACAAAAGATCACAAGAAAATCCAGACGATTCAGAGGCTTTCCATCTTGGCACTGGACTGCTTAGAAACGGTTCAAATATGTCCAAGTGCGGTTGTAGTTGTAATCTAGAAGTTGCTCAACAGGTCCTGAAAAAGAACCAATTTGTTTGAGATACTGTAAAGAAACCTCTGGCATTACTTAGTAAGCTTGAAAAGAAGAGTTAGAAAGACGGTTTACTGGTTTTCTATGAACCATTGTCAGATCAGATGTAACAATACTTCTTTGTTCAAGGTTTCCAAGTTGCCTAAACCCTCTGAATATAAATTGGATTCAATAATACAGCAAAATTCTGGGAAATCATCAGTGGTTCTAAGTCACCTACCTGTTCAGGCAGGTTTCAAGAGAAAGCTTTCTTGGGCTGACAGGTAAACCTTGAAAGGGACAACTACAAGCAGATAATTCATGTTCATAGGACAAATTTGATCTCAGAAATAATATTTTCACAAACATTCTTAGAGTCCAATTTCATTATGGCTGTCTTAGAATGGGACTGTAAGAAGGGTGACATACAAATCTGGGATTATACTGAATTCAGTTTTTTCATAAATAACCAGAATATGATCTGGCATAGTTAAATCTGAAGCATTTTAAACAAAATAGACAACAGTGTCAGCCCTGAAGCCAAACAGATTGTTTCCTCCTTCCTTACAAATCACAACTCAAAGTCTAACAACTTACCAACTCCTGCAACAACTGGACATCTGTCATACACATATTTACTGCAGACATCCTGAACCATTTTGGTATTAATTTCCTAGAAAACAAGAAATTAAATATACTTCCAGAAGAAAATTAGACAATTTGCCAATTACATACACTGACTACCAATCAAAATTGTACATCATTAGCAAAACTCAAATTGACATTGCTCTCATCTACTTGTGTTCTAAGAATACAATATTTCATTTAAAAAATACAGAACACCTTCATAGATTACTTCCTTCAGTGATTATCTGAATCAGAAACCAGCACCCCACAAATTAAAATTCCTTGAACTTCATGACAAACATCTCAAGGATTTTTGCACGTTGCAAGGTAGGCTAGAGTTGCAGAAAACTGACATATCTACACTTGATTTTGTAGTACTGAGTAGAATGTGATGTCCTAGCATTTATCAGACAGTGATGCAAATGACCACTATATCAACAGAAAGGACTATAATCTGGAAATGTAAGATTAGTGAAATTAAGCTTCCACTTTCATCAAACAACAATAATACTGACAGAAATTCTGGCATCCAATTCTGCCAAAGGTATCCGACGACCATAGCTCAGCAGCTGGGTTGCAATACTCTCACACATTGGAGTAGTACCTGAAAAATAAAAGTGAACTGTCAATAGAGTCATTAAGTATCTTTTCAAGATGTGAAGCAGAATCTATAATACACAAACCATTATATATATTGCTAATGAATAATATTCAACAATCCTGTAGTTAGGTACTTCATATAGGACGTTATTAGTGTGCAAGCTTTGAAGTTCTTCATCATCAACGATATTACCAAAAAAGTAGAAGATGAGGAAGGGCTGATGTTTGGGCCAAATGTTTGAATCAACTACCTGCCTTTCAAAGCTAGTCTCAAAACAGAAACTGTGGGCTGAATATTTTTTAGTGGTTGATATCATTCGTATCAGGCTACATCTAGCATGGAGGTATAAAGACAGTGGTTGCTTCCAACTCTAAAAGTGCACTGTCTCTTGTTCATGGCAAAAGGCAGAGAGAAAAAACAATGAAACTAATTTTCATAATAACTTTGTGCTACCATATCAAATGCAGAAAGAAATTGTGTTGCTAGGTAGAATAAAAGTTAACGAAGTCAAATTGGTCTCAGACTTTAAAACTATTTCTTCAACATGTAGCAAATACTAGGTGTAATCTGGCACCAATGATACCTGACGGTAACATATTATTATATTTACATTTTCGATTTGGAGATTTAATTTCATGGCTGAAATAGTTAAGTTTAGACTTCCTTGCTTTTTCCTAATTTTTGTAACAATTTGCTTGATAAATATTTAATCCAAAAGTTTGTGTGTACACTTACATTTTCATGAATTCTAATATTATTCTGTGTGATAATAATTGGTCTTTATGAAGATATTACCTAACTACAGAGTTATATATTGATACAGGAATGATTTCTTGTTGTGTCCTGTTCTGTAAATGATTTTAAGATAGCTAAGAACTTTCGTTTCTGGAAGTTTTATTTAATTTTGTGTAACTGAAGATGGTTTGTATTGGGTTATATCCATTTTGGAATTAACTGATGAATTGTTCTTAATAGATTTGCAATAGCATAGTCATCTGCAAAAATAGACAATCTAGTTTATTTTATTTTTACATATTACTAATTCACCATATTTAGATTGCATTTCTTCAATTAAAAGCACTTTGCATGACAGTGATCGGGTTGCTTTTGAGAGGAACTGTTATATTATTCATTCTGAAATTTCAACCAGGTACAAACTCATGGCATCTATGTGTGGCATTAATTCCCAACTTTAAGTGCGACCAGGTTCAGACCAGATACCGCACCTGAAATAATGAACTGATCTGCTGCATCCAATGAGAAGTTAACTGACACTACTTTTGTCTTAAGTTTATAACATTTGCAATGGTTTGTATCACATGTTATTTCACCACAAATTACAACATTTCTGGAAATGAGTTTAGATGTAGTAAATGAGACACGTTTGCATTGTTTGTGTAGTCACATTGTTATACACATGTTATAGATTGCCACAATAACATGCTTATATATTTTGGAACACTTGGGAATAGTGTTGTCCCTTTCTCCAAATAGTGTGCAAAAAGAGGATTCACTGTGTGTGCATCTATATTTATATACAAGCATAAAACCACATGAAATACAAACAATAGAAATTGAAGATAGTGAGATTATCTTCAGAAACAGTATTTCATAGAAGGGTGTGTGCCTTCGAAAACAATGGCTTTGGTAACGTTTACGCATCATCTAAAAAATGAAGTATGCTTCTGAATGTGCATTTCCCGTTTTTTGATAAATTTCCTGATTGCTTGGAACTAATAAGATAATATTCTTTACAGTGGATGGTAGACTACAAATTTTCCAGGGAGACTTGACAGGTGCCTTTTATAGATCAAAAGGAACAGGAATTACACAACTCAAAGAAAATAAAAGACCTGTGCGGTCTGGGCTTGCAAACTATCTTCATGTTCCATCTGCAGAACGATCAATTTAAACATTAGAATGTGCTGGGTGGCACAGAAGGCACACTAGCAAACATTTTAAATAGAGAGGAACTGAGGGAAAAAATGTTACTTTCATTACACTTTTCACAAGAAAGAAAAACCTGCTCAGGAGGTATTAAAAATTGAAACTGCGCTCTAAGGAGACATACCATCTAGTTGGGCCACCAAGCTCCTTCGGAGAACTTTTTTGCCTCTCTCCAAGTCATGTTCAGGCAAATCAGTGCACATGCGCATCCTGTACAAGCAGCAGAATTGAAGATAGTAATCAAACGTGACACATCTTTAAATGACAATTCCCTTCCGTTTTAGAAAACTTATGCTTGCAAGAAACCAGGCTTGCTATTCTACATAAAAGCTGAAGGAAGAAGATCACCACAATAGACAAATATTTATATTTAAATATTTATATGTATAGACAAATGAAACAGAAAGAGTAGTATACACTTGAGCTAATATTTAAATGAAAACTCTACTGAGACACAATAAATACAATTAGATTCTAATATAGAAGCTGCAGTACACTATCTCACACTAGAAACTCACAGAACAGGTTTTGAGATTATTTTGCTTCTGCTTCATTTCCCATTTTCAAATATTTTTTCCATTAATCCTTGGAGAGCTATATCCTGAAGTCCATTTGCAACCCCATATAGCACTATTTTCTTACAAAATAAAAATAACATAATAGAAGCAAAACCATCCTTACCATTCATATCTTCCCCAATCAGTTGAGTATAAAATTTTGAAACGATCAGTGACAAAATAGAAACCAAAAAGTCCTGTATCAGAGTAGCAAATGTTGAAGGGCTGGAAACTTTGACAGAGGTCGTTCTCAGCAAAATCAGCAGCCATTTTGCTATACAGATTCTATAAAGAGATAGTTATAATTTACCATGCAAACATAACTCATTACCAACGAAGTATTCATTCAAAAATCTTGAAATAGCCCTTATTCCGTTATATCAGTACATTAATCACCTAAGCCAGACAAGTAACAAAGCTTAACAAAGTCATTAGAGATTCTGATAGTATCTTAAATTTGACATGAAAAAAACCTTGCCACAGAATTCAGGTGCCATAATGCAAAACAGCACCTGACCAACAAAATTGAATTCCAAGAAAAAATAAACAATGCAAAAAGGCACTTTACTTAAACCAGAATATTAGCTGTGCTGTTCATCTGTAACATTGGGGAAATTAAATCAGCAGTACACAACCAAGTGTTCTGGACCAGAATGGCTTGCAGGAGTTCGAACAAGGAATTCCCCATGTTGGCAAAGATTTCTGAAAATTCCAGGTACAGTCAAGAAATGAATTATTATACAAGTCAACTCAAGAGTTCTCACTCAAGGCCCAAATTATCAGGTACGTCGGACACATTACGCAGACCTAGCTTTCCGGAAAAAGCTCTAATGCAGGGAAAGGTGGTAAATAAGAGAAGACGAGGATGACCAACAGCAAGATGGATGGATTTAGTTACAATGGAGATGAGTGCACTACAGGAGACTTGAAGGACCAGATTAGGGACAGATTGTCATGGATAAAATCTATGTGGTTGCTAAGTGTCAACATGGATGTAATAATCAATCAAAACGAACATGCCAATCACAGTGCCTTACCTTACTTCCACCAAAGGTAAGGTCGTAGCGTCCTATGATTGAATTAGCTAACAGAAGGACAAGATTGTCTGGACTACCCCAGCCAGGCCCCTCCACAGCGAAAGCAACGTGAGCCAAAGGTAAGTCGTCATCTCTGACTGAGACCTAAAAGGGTATGAGGCAAGAAAAGAGAATAAAAAGCCCAGTCATATCTTTTTGCAAAAAGATAAAATTTCCCCTTTTATCTATTAAACCAAAACCAAAACAGAGAATTCGTGTTTTATTTTTAAAATATTTTTATCCCATTTTTAAAAAATTAGTGAATCCTGTATTCAGAACTCGAGGGTGGCTGTGATAAACATGAACATTCAGCCTTCTTATTACTGTGATAGGCAAGAAAAGTAGGCAAGGAGTTTACGTGAAGAAGTGAACATAAAGAAAGGGCCAATATTAATATCCTAACCGGCTTCAACACTAAATGTATTTCAGATGTAAGATAAGTAGCTACTTCGCTTGGAAGTGCTGAGTTGCTAAAAATAGTTATACTACGAGAGGAGAATATTCAAGACCAGATACACATTTATTTAAATGATTTAAATGGCTACTCATCTCACAACAGTGATTCTGAGCTGTGTACTATAATTAAAGTAACAGCTACAATCAGTAAACAATGATGCACAAGAGAAAACAATATACTTCAATGACAAAAACCTATATCAGCAGCAGAACTTGCTTACCTTTCTGGCCAAAAGACTTTGGGGGGGGGGGGGGGGGAGACAGCATAAGGACCGTCAGAATTGCCAGAGGGAAGATAATACCATTTATTATGATGTATACCATAGTACTATGGGCCCAACTGTAGAGGGGTCCAACAAGATGGCACTGTGGTAAGATCCCCAGCATACTCTGATAGATCTGGTGGACCGAGCAAAAACAATGGAAGAGCTGGTCCCACCAAGAGCCTGGCCTATGCCATGTAGAGCTTTACAGATCAGACTTCCCCAAACTTTCCAGCTTTGCAGACCAGAGTGATAGGCATCACCATAAATTAATACTCAGAAGCCTACTTTCCTTGCTTTCTGGGCAATCCCATATAGAGGGTATTGCATTAATCAAAATGGGAGATGACTAAAGCAATGGTCGCCTTGGGCAAGGATCACAGTAGTGACTGTTACAAGCTCATCAAGCAAGACCTGTCAATCCAGGCAGAGTTAAGGATAGAAACTAACCAGAGCAGGAAATCATTAAAATCCACAGCAAATCAGCCTTGTCAGCGTTGAGCCAAAGCCTTTAACCCCATTCAGACCCTCACAGCCTCCAGGCACTGGGAAAGCACCTCCGTGGCATTGCTTGGTCAGCCCAGTGTGGAGATGTACAGCTGGGCATCATCAGCATACTCATATTCAAGAAGCCACTTTAATAAAAATGATCTAAGTAGAATTTATATTGCATTATTTCCATGCACATTTTATTTTATGATAATGCTAGGCCAGGAAGACTCTTCTTACCTGACTCCCGCTGTAACGACTTCGGGGCAAAACAGGAATGGTATCAGCTTTGTAATTAAAAGGAACATTGCCAAAATGCTGCTGGGCAAGATCCACCAGTTCTTTATGACTAACATCTATTAAAAAGCAAGGCAATATGAATGTTGTTTCTTCCAACAGGGGCTGCTAAACAGCTGCAAAACTATTATCCAAATTGATATAAAATTGAAACATCCCCACTTATGACTTCTTTGAACATACCCAGTAAAATCTCTGCAGATGACAGCCCTTTGAGGCAGGCCAGATAAGGAAACGGACTCTACAAGTTAGACCGTGGCTATAGGCAGTAGTAGCAGAATCTTAAAAACCCGTATTTTCCCTCCCCTCCCTCCCCAGCAAAGTACAGTCCATCGAGACTGAGCTTCTTTCGCATTCTTTCTGTTTCTTGGGCTTAACAAGTTTTCTATAATTATTTCTGCATAGTTTCTCAAGGTCAACTCTGTAGCTCTTTATACTGGACCCTTGGTTCTATTAGAAATGGTGGGAAATATTTGTAGCTTGCGTGGTAGATGGTGGTGGTGGTGATTTTTTTTTTCCTCCAAGTTTGGAAACTAAACAATAAGCTCGGGGAACAAACCACCACTAAACCCTTGGTACCATTGTCTATTCCTAGTGATAGGATTTTTTCCCCTGCCTTCCTATAATTTCAATCCATTATTTGGGGTTCCTCAGTAGAGTATTCTGGGGCATTTTGGTTCATGCACAGAATGAAGATATTCTGGACAGAAATTATGGGGGGGGGGGCAGCGTGGAGAAGGGGGAGAACAGTAAAAAAGCCAGTGGTAGAGGAAGAGGCCGCTGCTCCCCTTACCACAGCCTATCCCCCAGAGATGGCCATCCCCAACTTTTCCAGTGCTTTGCTTCTACCATAATAGAAATGAGAATATTTCCCTTAGTTTAACTTTTAAGGGGTTGATCTGACTCGATGTGCTTCACTATCCTAAACACGTTGGTCTTTGCTTGTATCATAGTCATGATTAGACTCCTGTAACATTATTATATATAAAAGATGAAATTAAAACAAGACCAGCTTACACTAACCTCCAGCAGCAACCAGGGTCATGCGAGGTGCTTTGACATGAGCTTCCATGTATTCTGCTATATCTGCACGGGTCAATTTCCTAGAAGAAATACAATACTTTTTAAAAATTTACCATTTGTAAAAAGTATGGAACGTGGCATCGGTGAGCTTAGAAACATACTGTCTTTTCATTTTTTTTAAACATATATGTTATTTAATATAATCTAGAGCTGGGCTCCTTATTGAAATCAAAAGGGTAAAAAAAAAATCCTTTTGAAGGTGTCCAAGAGTGGTTTTCAAAACCAATTGTCTTCTTTGGATTGCGCTGCATCTGTGCAGAGCAGCCATGAAAACACTGAAAAGGACACAGTAACTCCATGTGCCATCTTGCTCTTCCGACCAAGGTAGCGGTTGGAACGGGAGTTGATTTTATGATTTGGGAAAGGTTTCAACTTTGTATTATGTTTCTTCTAATGTTGGATTTACTCAGGTTTTGCCTTTTTTAAAATCTATGCTAGCTCCTTGCCCTGATAGGATTTTTCTCCTTAAACATGTCTAGAAACGTTTTACATAAGCTATCAAGTGTCTCTTTTGTTTTATACCAACTTCAGTATGCAGTATGAGGACAATACTGAACCGATTGCAGAAATACACCCCAGAATTATTTAAAACTAAATTGGAACGTCTTCCTCACGTGTCCTCTCGGAATTTGATGCATACATATGTGGACCAGCCAACACCAGAAATTTCCACAGATCTACATGAAATCTGAGTAATTGATTTAAAAAGTAATCATGCCTGGAGGAGACCAGATTCCTGCAAAGCTTTTATCTCATGTTGCAGAAGGAACTGAGACGGAGGAGAAAAGATGGACGTTATGAGTCTGCAATGAGCAAGGAACTGCAATTGTGTGACTGTATACCTGTGTGTGTGTGATGGGAAAATGAAAAGTATATAATACAAGGCTAGAAGTGTGAGAGGATTTTATGCTAGTGAGTGTGGATTGGGAAAGAATGTCAAAAGCAACAAGTGTTTTTAGCTGCAGATTTTAAGAGCAGTTTCTGAGTGCTTAAGGCAAAGTTTGAGAACCCCTGCTTTAAAGGATTATAGTAATAATAATTTAGCTCAAGCTCTAGTTTATAACAACAAAAACTTGTTACTCCTGCATATGACACACAAAAAACCATTCAAGAACTCCCAGTGACTTACTTCCTTTCTTAAAAAAAGAAAACCTGGTGAAAGAAGCCAAACAACAGCTTACTAAGGGCCATAGCTTCTGTTTACATCTGTACATGTGTGCATATAAGTTATTTACAGGCAATATTTCATAATTATGCCTTAGCCATATGGGTATTGGCATAAGCTCAAAAACATTGGATTTAAATTAAGACACTTTCTTCTATCATATAAGTGATGCTTGACCAGGGTCTGCAGTATTGTCTGGGGCACTACACATCCTTTCCACGACTGGTTTTCTTTGTTACCTTCTGGGAGGAAGCTTCACAGAACCCAAAGCAGAACAATTAGATTTTGTGTGTGTGTGTGTGTGTGTATCACATATGTATGTGCATGTATATGTGACCATGAAACACCAAGGGAGATGATCTACTAATCTTTTTCAATTACAAACATCTCCTGAAAGTTTAATAAAAATTGAATTCTGTTCTAGAATTAAAAAAAAATCAAACTGTCAACTTTTATTTTTATTTTCAATCTACTTCCCCACCCCCACCAGTCATAGTTTATGTAGACAATTTTTTTCTGAATACATAGAACACACACACATTTACATTAACTACTAAAAGATAGTTCCTTGGAAACCCAAAAAATAGCAGTAAGCAAGTAGAACTGTGTATTTCAGACCTGTATCACAATGATTGCACCAGGTATAGCTGACTTGATACTGCTAGAGCTGTGAAGACAAACCTTTCAGGCTTGGCAGGCCAAAAATTTGGAATATGCCTAACTTGACTCTTGTCCTAGTGCCACCGCTGCCACTCAAAAAGGCCACCTCATGCTATTCCCCAAGGGGTACAAGCCTTGAAAATTGATGAAATTGCCCCATGGCCCACAGCTTCGCAGAAAATTGCATGAGAACAGAACATTATTTTGAGAATCACTGTTTTCAAGTTGTTGGTAAATGTTGGCTGGTCATTGAAAATGTAGTGGTGTATCACCCTTGGCATGTGTATCATAGGTTCATCATCGCTGGTATAGACTCTTTAACTATTAACTCCAATATTCAGTTTCCCTAATGTATATTGTAGCAATTAAGATAAATGGCTGTTATTTTTCTGTGCAAAGGTATTGGATCATTGTTGTTTAGATATATGCAACTTAAATAAGACTTGTATTTATCTCACCCTTTATTTCAGTTAACTAACTAAAATTTGTGTGCCTGAACCATGTCACTTCTGTTCAACTCACTTTATATTTGCTGTTGTCCCTTCAGTTGTCTGGGCCAAAGGTGTGCCTTGATAAGCTGAAGCATGAAGATAATCAAAGAGGACAGCAGGCAGATAAGAATCGGATTCTTTCATCTCCTGAAGGATGACATTCCGCTCCTTCTCAATCTGAGACTCTTCCAAGCTGCAGTTCTGTGTTATATCAGCCAGAATCTCAATTGCTAAAAAAGATGTGCTATTTGAATCATCAAGTCAAGTTAAATTAAAAAGTTACCACGATATTCCGGGATGAGAAAAACCAACAACCCTAAATTAGAGGGCATTTATAGCATTGCAAGCCACAGCCAATGTCAATTTTGTATCTCCTGCCCATAAATGAATTCCTCTCCTAGCCTCCTGTCTACTTCTTCTGCAACTCTTTCACTTTTAACTTCAACCACCCATCTTCTTTGCTTCAGATGCCAATTGCTGTGAAAGTATACATTATTATTACTAGAATAACAATAATAGTGGAAGAGATAATAGTATCGCTACTATTATTCAGTAGAAGCAAACATGATACAAAGCGATTTTGTCAAACTCAGACAACTGTATTACCTTTTGGCAAATCTTTGCCTAGAATTTTCATGTAGAAGGCTGTCTTTTCACGAGAGTAGTAGCTGTCAAGATGTGCACCAATGCTTTCCACTTCCTTTTCAAATTGGGCGTAAGGGTATTTACTTGTGCCCTAATAAAACATCAATAATCAATGCTGTTTTTAGTGCTTGCAGCAATTTTAGTAATTATGAAGTTCATATTATCGCAAGGATTTTCCTTCTATAAGGCCTATGGCCATATCAACTAAGTTAGAATACAAGCTCTGGTTTAAATGAAGACTACCTTGAGGTGGCATATGGCGAGATGGTCTTACATTCATCCTAATAGACAAATTCAAAGAATCAAAATTCTGGTTTTCAGCTGATAAGAAGTCCCAGCAAGCTAATGAGCTTCCTCACTGAGAAAGTAGGGAGAGGAATATGAGTTTGGCAGGAAGTTCAAGAAGATATCCCTAACAAGTATTACCCCCACGTGGCGTAGCTTGATTGAGCAGAAAAGAAGAAGAAATGAAAACTTTTCTAAACACGTTGACTGTATTCTTAAGAAACAGAAGTGAAGGAACATGATTCTGCAGTCCTGAATCTGCTATGGCATGTTTGTGTTCTTGTACAGATGAAATCAGAAAGGCCAAAGCTCAAAATGAACCGTACTTGGTAAAGGATGCTAGAACTATATTTTATATATCGCCTTCAAATCAGTTGTTGACTCCTGGGGACTACCTGGACTAAGGATTACAGTATTTCTATTTTCTTTCAATTCTTGCATATGATGAATCCTACTGTGTTTCCCCGAAAATATGACTGGGTCTTATTTTCTTTTGACCCCTGAAAAAACAGCTAGGGCTTCTTTTTGGGTGGGTCTATTGACTTACCTCATTGCAGCAGCACCAACAACCCCGCCCAGCAGGAGCCCGCTGCCGGCCCACTTCTTCTACAGCCGCTTGCCGTGGCTCGCATGCATCACCCCCAACCTCTGAACGTTTTGCCATCAGAGTGTTCCGGAAAACTGCGGCCAAGGAAAGAGGTCCAGATTGATGAGCACATCATCCCCTGGCCTCCATTTTGCTGTAAGAGGCCTTCCGGAAATGTAGAGAGCTTTCCAGAAGGCTCTGACGGTGAAACAGAGGCCATGGGGCAATGCATGCGTCAATCCAGACCTCGTTTCTTGTCTGCAGAGGGCTTTCTGGAAGATTCTGATGGCGAAATGGAGGCTGGGGATGATGCGTGCAAGCAGCAGCAAGCGACTGCAGAAGAAGTGGGCCTGCAAGACGAGGCAGGTGTCGGGCTGTGTGAGACCTGGTAAGTAGGGCAGCTCCACCCCCCCAACTTAAAACTCCTGCACCCCGGGGTGGGTGGAATGTTAATTAGGGGTAATTTTAGAGGTAAGGCTTAATTTTAGCGCATGCATTCAAAAACATGGTAGGGTTTCTTTTCAGGGTGGGTCATATTTTCAGGAAAACACGATACAGGATAAAATCATTTATATGTATTTTTGTTCGCTGAAAATGATACAAGAATTTTAGTTCCTTTTATTTCTTAAAAAAACTGTAAGCTGAACAAATAATATATCTATATAGTAGCATTTGTTCTTTAATCATTTTCATTTAAATATAATTCAACTTGTAAAAGAGACATACATTTAAATTTCAGAGTATCACGGCATACAAGTGCATCAATGATGTTACCTAGTTGGTAACAAAATGTTTACAAGAGAACTACAGCACCAGACAACACCAAGATTCCACACAGAGAAATTTCTTAGGAATAAAAATGCCCTAAATAAATTTAAATCAGACTGGCAAGTAACATAATAATGAATAAAAGTCTGTTTCTGAAATATGGAAATTCTTTTCAAGTTTTTCTGGATTCAGAGCAGTAGGTAGCACACATGTAGGAAGCAGTACAACTCAATCATATTGCAGCTCACCTTGAATGCCAGGTGTTCCATAAAGTTCCCAACTCCATTATTCTTCTCAGTTTCATAACGACTTCCTATCTTAATCCATACTCCAACCTGATTAAACAAAGAATTGATTAAATATATTAAGTATCAGGGCAGCTTTATAGGAAGTATTCTGATATTGTATTTCATGTATTTTAATTTTTTAAAAATTAATTTTTTTATCATTGCAATTATTTTTATTTTGTTTGCTCCCCAGAGTCACTTGAGATGGGCAAGTATACAAATTGAACGAATTATAATAGACTATTGAAAGAAAGAGCTTCAATTGCAGATAGAATAATTACCCTTAAATCCCTATCTTTCTATCTAACTTGCACTTTCCTTAATTTGGCTAGAAACATAGAAATTGCTTGTGTCAGTACCAAGACAGTGTTTTTTCAGTCAATGAATCAAAATCTAAGCAGAGGTTAAAAGTAACACCAGGATTTGTCTAAAAACAAAAGGGAGGACAATCCTATGCTGAGGTGCACACGGTTTCAGTAAGCTCCCAAAATGTGCTTCCTCTTGACCCATTCCATGTGGAAAATTTCCCTTCCATGTCAAGAGTATGGGAATTCATTGGGAAGGTTTCAGATCCAAAGTTCCATCTCTGAATATTGCTGAATTATATCTCAAAGCTACCCCAGCTAACATGGCCAATGCATTCAACAAATCCTATCAAATCCCAATCATGCAACAAATCTAATAAAGTTCTGAACCTGAATTCCTTTTAATACTTTTGGATCTTGTATGATTAACATACTTTAAAAAAATATTCTACATTAATTGTAGCTGCCCTATATTATAAGCACACTTTGTTGATATTGCAGTTTGAATTCCAGGCCATTGTAATAAGGTATCCACCCTAAAGCAAGTTAAATATTTTTTTTATTTCCCAGTGTATATACAAGTTATGATTATAGTAACTATACTATAGTCCAAATGTGCAATAGCCATATCTCAAAAAGAATAAATAATTAAAAATACTGTATTGCTAAAAATGCTACTAATCGTCCAGGAGATAGAGAGAGAGAGAGAGAGAGAGACAAAGACAGACAGAGAGAGAGAGAGAGAGAGAGAGAGAGATGTATATATGTGTGTGCATGTATGTGTATTAGTTTGGCAAAATATAAAATACAGAGATGCAAAGAAAAATGGAAAATAAAGAAAGAAGAGGGGAAGAGGAAACAGTGTAGGATAAAGTGGGGGAAGAAAAGCATCAACCTTGATTCTTTTTGGTGCAGTAAAATATTTTTTTACTTTTACATAATATATACAAGCCATTTCTATAACAACAACCTATCTAATTCACAAAACCCAAAATAAGAGTTTCATTTTTTTCAAGTTCTTTATTCATTAAGCCAAAAAAAAAAAGTCCCTGGTTTTATCTTTATATTCACTTTGAGAATCTTCTGTATTTATATGTGAATCCTACCCCGTATTTCTTTGCTTTATCACATGTCAGCATAAATGGTAAAAGGTTCCTTTGTTACATTCACATTTCCAACATTTATTTTAAGTATCTTTATAGATTATTGACGATTTGTTTGGCTTTAGAATACACGGTTTAAATGTTATTTAAATCAAGTTATTAATGTAAATTTTAAACCTGTCCACATGGAAAAACATATTTTCTCATTGTTCAAGCATTACATTATATTCAAAATTCTTTGCCCGCTGAATCATACAATGCTTCACATACTTATTCTCAAGTTCAATTTCAATAGAAATTTATTAAGCTTAATATGTTCATAATTACCATACAGAATTTCCAATAAAGTTGGAAATTTTGATATTTTACACTGAAAGAATTCCTTCCACGAAGTAAGCAATTCTACCAAAGAAGACCTGTACTAGTAGAAATTTCAACAAAGTAACCTAAAGCATACTACAAATTCACAACATGAAATTGCAAGCCTAGCTGAGCTTTGTAACTGCTCTATCTGAATTGAAAATTAATTCTAGAATACGCTCATTGGTTAGAGATTAAGAAAGTAAAAGCAGGATTTGTAGCCATCTGCAGGATAACGACCAAGCTCAAAGAACTCCAAGAATCTGACATAGTGACCATATTTCAAAAATCTGTTTGCTATCTTGGCTTTTCTACTGTGGAATCTCTGACTTCTCTGGAATAAAAAGCATAGATTATATTTCTCTGAATAGCTTGGAAGCAATAAAAAACTCCCTTGGTAGTCTGCTATTCATTAAGTTTGTTTTAGGACTTTCAGTTTTTAGGGAAAGTTACTTTCTGTTGGAATATGTACATGTAATCAGACTAGCCACTCTATACATCTGATGTAGCAACTTAAGAAAACTTTTAGGTTTTATTAGATTCCTTCCATTAAAAATATCAAGCCTGAGTTAAATATATACTCAACTGAAAAAAACAGGGATTCCAACATTTTTCAGAAAATCAAATTAAAACTTACTGTACATGTAGGGTGGTTTGACTTTTCTGATGCTATTTGTAAGCCATTGTCTAAAGTAGTAACTTCTGTCTCGGGAAGATTGGATAGCACATTAGCGTAAGTTGCAGTACTTCCTCTTTTCACCAAGCCCTGCAAGGATATCTAAAAAAATGATTATTAATTAATACAATATAAAAACAAACAAAACATATGCATTAAAATTGTAGAATACCTATAACAAATTATAACTTATTCTGGACTATATATTTCAACCACAGTAATTTATGACACAAATCAAAAGAGTAAGAAAAGGCTTTTAAAACAAATTCAGGCACCGAAGTCTATGGAAAAGGAATACATTAACTAAATATTAATAGCGCACAAATATATGAGACCAGAAACTGTCCAATAAACTGCAATTATACTAAAAAGTCATAATTATTTAGATTAACTTTGGGAAGAACATTAATGAATATTTGAACACAATCTTATATTTCTCTCTGATGAACATGAGACAATTGAAAAATAATTTTAATATGTATCATCCTGAAACAAACCAAAATGAAATTCACTTTACAATGCAGAATTTCCATTCAAATTGGGATATAAATCTTGCTAGGGAATCTTAGAACTATTCAATTTAATACAAGAATATTTACTAAAAGTAATGCTTTCAAAACAAAGATCTATATTTCCCAATTGACACAAAAATAAAATATGAATAACCAATAAAAACAAATTTTCACATGTCAGATTTTTGACATAATTGCTCTGATACTTTCTAAATAAAATAATCATAAAGCAACTAAGCCTAGGTCTCTAATGTACGCTGAAATGTTAACAAAGCCTAAATGACCGAGGTTGGGTTCATACGATGTGCTAAAACCATGCTCGTTCATTCATTTGAATGACTAAAGCCACCTTGGGTAGATTCAAAACCAAACATGTAGCTTATACCTTCCAATATGTTGTATGTTCGTACAGTACAAATAGTGCTAAGATTCCCTAACAAGATATATATCCCAATTTTCAAATCAGCAACATTTCTATATATTCCTTAATAACTCCTTGATAGTAGTTGCAACTTTTTCCAGACACAACTGTCTGACAAGTAAAGGCTGAATTAAAAGGGGCAGAGATTTTATTATCATCCATTACTTCTGCTATTGCTGACTGCAGGCTGCCAGCAGTTTGGCGGTTTGAATTTCACCGGCTCAAGGTTGATTCAGCCTTCCATCTTTCTGAGGTAGATAAAATGAGGACCCCGATTGTTGGGGGCCATATGCTGACTCTGTAAATCGCTTAGAGAGGCTTGTAAAGCACTGTGAAGTGATATATAAATCTAAGTGCTATTGCAAAATTTCTACTTACTGTATCTGTTCAAATAGGTCTTTGGTCAGAAATATGTGGCAATTTGAGCACCAAAGAATGGAGGCCTTTGAACTATGGTCCTGGAAAAGACTCTTGCGAGTCCCTTGGACTGCAAGGCGATCAAACTGGTCAGTCCTAGAAAAGATCAACCCTGATTGCTCTTTAGAAGGCCAGATCCTGAAGATGAAACTCAAATACTTTGGCCACCTAATGAGAAGGAAGTACTCACTGGAGAAGAGCCTAATTCTGGGAAGGACTGAGGGCAATCGAAGAAGGGGACAGAGAATGAGGTGGCTGGATGGAGTCATTGGAGCAATAGGCATGAGCTTAAATGGACTCCGGAGGATGGTAGAGGACAAGAAGGCCTGGAGGAATGTTGTCCATGGGGTTGTGATGGGTCGGAGAAGAATTCGCAACTAACAAAAAGAAAGCAAAAAGAAGCTGCTCTGAAAAGTTAAGGAATCAGTTCTCAACAAATGCACCAGCAAACATGTGGAAAACTCTTAAAAACATCACTAGCTTCAGCAAACCTCCTTCCCAGGCAGAAGGAAATCAACAACTAGCAGATGACCTGAATGTGTTTTACTGCAGGTTTGAAAGGAAACTACAGCCACCTATCTCCACAACCCATATCTCAAACACACCAACAACAGCCAAGCCTCCTACAACTGACCCCAATCCATTGGGTTCACAACCTCTGGTGATCACAGAAAAAGAAGTGCAAGATCTATTATACAGACAAAAGCCAGGAAAAGCATCAGGGCCAGACAAGATAACTCCTTCTTGCTTAAAAGTCTGTGCTGACCAATTGGCCCCCATCTTCACCCGAATCTTCAAAAGATCACTAGAGATGTGCTATGTTCCTTCCTGCTTCAAACGCTCTACTATCATCCCAGTGCCCAAGAAACCCTCCATCAAGGAATTGAATGACTACAGACCAGTTGCTCTAACATCTGTAGTTATGAAAATCTTTGAAAGACTTGTGCTGTCCCACTTGAAAACCATCACGGATCCACTGTTAGATCCCATGCAGTTTGCATACTGAGCAAATAGATCGACAGATGATGTTGTTAATATGGCTCTGCATTACATCCTACAACACCTTGAATCTCCCAATACCTATGCAAGGGTCCTCTTTGTAGACTTCAGTTCAGCATTCAATACCATCATTCCAGACACTCTTCTAAGTAAATTAAACCAACCAGCAGTACCTGAACACACTTGTAAGTGGATCATAAGCTTCCTAACAGACAGGAAGCAGCAGGTGAAGCTAGGCAGAATCACATCCGATACCTGTACAATCAGCACAGCCCCCTCCCCAAGGCTGTATGCTTTCTCCACTTCTCTTCTCCCTATATACCAATGACTGCATCTCAAATGATCCATCTATTAAAATACTGAAGTTTGCTGATGACACAACAGTGATTGGTCTCATTCAAGACGATGACGGATCCACATACAGACAGGAGGTTATACAACTTGCCTTGTGGTGTAACCGGAACAATATGGAACTGAACACACTCAAAACCGTAGAAATGGTGGTAGACTTTAGAAGAAACCCTCCCTTACTACCGCCTCTTACAATACTAAACAACATCGTATCAACAGTAGAGGCCTTCAAATTTCTAGGTTCTACTATATCACATGACCTAAAATGGACACCTAACATCAAAAATATCATCAAAAAAGCACAACAAAGAATGTTCTTTCTGCGCCAACTCAGGAAGCTCAAACTGCCCAAGGAGCTGCTGATCCAGTTCTACAGAGGAATGATTGAGTTTGTCATCTGCACCTCTATAACTGTCTGGTTTGGTTCTGCAACCCAACAGGACAGACACAGACTTCAGAGAGTAATTAGGACTGCAGAAAAAACCATTACTACCCCAGTACTAACCATTACTGCCTTCAGTCGAGGACCTGTATACTGCACGAGTCAAAAAGAGGGCTGTGAAAATATTTACAGACCCCTCACATCCCGGACATAAACTGTTTCAATTCCTTCCCTCAAAATGACGCTATAGAGCATTGCACACCAGAACAACTAGAAACAAGAACAGTTTTTTCCCATAAGCCATCACTCTGCTAAACGAATAATTTCCTCAACCTTGTTCAACTATTACAAAGTCTGCACTACTATTACTGTTAAATCTTGTCATCACTCCTTATCACCCATCCCGTCCCACTTGTGACTGTATGACTGTAACTTTGTCGTACTTATGATTTATATTGACTGTTTCCCAGTATGATTTATTGCTTATTGTACCCTATGACTATCATTAAGTGTCATACCTTATGATTCTCGACTCCTGACGAATGTATCTTTTCTTTTATGTATACTAAGAGTATTTACACTGACAAATTCCTTATGTGTCCAATCACACTTGGCCAATAAACTATTTTATTCTATTCTATTCTATTATTTCTATTTCTATAATTTCTATTTCTATTCTATTTCTATTATTTCTATTTCTATTATTTCTATTCCTATTCCTATTCTATTCTAGCATGTGGCAATTAGACCTGTAGTCAGCAGAACAAAATAAGGTGGCATAGAGAAACATTAGCATTAGGATACTCAGAGACAAGAAGTCCCTTGGCTGTTTCCTGCTATGTCCAATTCACCCACTTGAGCTTTTATTTTCATATTCTTGAAATTGTAAAATACCAGCAGAAACTTAAATTGTCCCATACTGAACAGACAACAGAAACTTTCTTGCAAGTTAGAAACTTTCATAGAAAGTTGTTGCGATGCAATTGCTTTCCTCGTCTTTCTTGCATCCCACCAACAGCCTGCTAGATTTTCGCAGCCCGGATTTTAGTATTACTATCCCACGCTAGAGAATATAAATGAACAATAACGGTGAAGAGCTGGTGTGTGGGCTGAGGGGCCGAAAACGGCACCCTTGCAACATTTCGAAACAAGGTTTTGGGCCACGCTCTCCGGGCCCTGCCACGACCCCTCAGCTGCCAAAACAAGCCGCCCGACGTGCTGGCGAGGGAAGGCGGGATGCTTCATCCTTAGCCGGGGCTCGGTCGGGGGACGGAGGCTCAGCAACTCGGCGCCTGTCCAGTGGCTCTCACTCACCGCGGTCTGCTCGGTGCGAGAAAAGCTAAAACGTGCAATGAAAGGCTCGTCCCAAAAGCACCTTTGGGACAACCATGACCTGGATGGCTGAGAATCTCCGTAGACACGTTAATCAGAGGCTCACTGCATTACCGCCCAGAGGGTTAAAGGCGGAGCAGGGACGAGGCTCCAAGGGCGTAAACATCTGCCGGTATTTTATTTTCCCCCGAGAACGCCCCTTATTCGGACTGGACCGAGGAAGCGTTTCCACCAACCGCCCTTTCCTTCCCGTGACCTTCGCGGATGGTGAAGGAGGCGACGCAGAGCCTTGGCGGACTCGCCGTCATCCCCGACCGGTTTGCTTTCCCCCTAGGCACTCCCCCTCGCCCCTTTGCTAGGGATCCAACCGGGCACCGACTCACCGGTGCGCAGGAGCCCCGAAGGAGAGCCCGGCTAGCCACAGACCCCAGAGCCCGGTACACCGACCCCGCCGCCATCTTGCCCCGACAGGAAGACCGCCAACTGCGCCTGCGTAGAGTTCCAGGGAGGCGCATGCGCGAGTTCCAAAGGGGGCGGTCCCTAGGAGGAGGAAGGACTTGTGTTGTCCTAAGAATTGCGAGGATGGCTTACCGCTTTGTGCTCCAAAGGCGATTCTTGATCCGGCTTTCTCTGTGTCTTTTCCTGGCTACGCTATCTTTCGAATACTTGCAACTCTACCAGGGCACTGCCAAGATCATCCCCCCTTAGAATTAAAAAAAACAAACAATACGGTAGAAGCGCATAATTCTATCGGTCCTTCTGGCCGTGGTGATCCAATGAGATCTACTGAGATCGTTGACATTTTGAATGAGAAAGAGACATTTGAATGAGATTCAATGTTAAACCAGAACGGTTGATAAAATCCCCCCAGAAAACCCCCAAGGTCAGCAAAGACATGATTGCTCACTCTTGCTAGCCCAGACTATATTTTCAATTATTTTTTTAAATTCTTTAAAAAAAAATCTTCCATGTTATAGATAAAAAATATGCATATATTTTAAAAATTGGAGGTTATTTTATCTGGGCTGTACTAATACTTCACATGATCTTGATAGTATTTCTCTATTGATGCAACCTAAGAATGCATTTGGGTTTTTTGCAGCACGGCTGGCTCATACGTAATTGGTTGTCCACTAGGACTCCTGGATTCCTATCACAGTTACATACTACTGTTAAACCAGATACCACCTATATCTTTGCATTTGGTTTTTCTTGCCTAAATGTAAAACCTTACTTTTCTTGCCATTGAATATTTTCAAAATATTTTCACATAGAAGTTTCTTCACAGTCCTCATCCTTCATCACAAATTACCAGTCAGGCAAATAATGTTTTGTCATCCAAAGTCTTGGGAAAAACAGTGACATTATAGTTAATTATAAGCCTCTCAGAGTCTCTTCAAGGCGAGATGGACAGAAAACAAATTTAATAATAAAATATAAATAAGGAGAAACAACAGTCATGGTTTGGAATGCATGAGGAATCTAAGAGGCATTTTTCTAGAGTCCTAGAATCCTATTCATTATCAATATTTTAGAATATAACAGTCTGAGAGAAGAATCTCTTACAGATATGCAGAATTAAATCAGCATATGTATATCTTAGAGTCCAGGAACCTTATTTTTTCTGGAATCAGTGTGATTATAGTTGATATGCATGAATTCCATTTGCACAACACATGGCAGCAGCATTCTCAGGTATGAAAAGCTATAGTCCTTATTTAGCGGCCACAATCGAGACCAGCAACTTGGTTCTTGAGTGAAGCAAATGCTAAATGAAATGGTGTCTGTACTGATCTTACTTCAGCTTTCCTTTGCTTTACAGACCTGTGAAGATTGTAAATGAAAAGATTGGTCGTAAAATTATGTTTTTCATCACTGTCGTAACTGTATACAGTCGCTACACAAAGTAGTCAATAAATGAGGACTACCTATACTGACTTCTGGGATAGTGAAGAGTTTACTGTGAGCAATAGACAAGTGATGTTATACTGGCATATCATTACTGGCCCAATTGAAGCTTCTAGGTAGTTTTCAAGGCTATACTATGGTATCCATTACAGTAGTCAAGGTGTGTGATGACTAAGTGATTGTCTAAAGTTCACCTTATCTAGGAAAGTGCTATACATTTTATATATAATCTGATAATCAGAATTTTTTTCTCCTTTGTAGATCTTTATTGGTAAGCATGTATTTACACATAAACAAGCTGGCTGCCGAAATGAAAACAGCTCCTTATCAACCACAGGCCGTGTAACAAAACCAAAGCTATACAGGGGAATAAACCCAGTAATCCTTGCAGTTGCCAACTCGTTCTCCATATCTATCATGGCAATGCTGTGACAAGACCTAATAATGGAATTCGTTGCATTAGAGTTTCATGTTTCATGCTGCTAATATGAGATAGATAGCAGATAGTTACTAATACTAACGAAGTTACAAATAAAGGAGAATATTTGTAGCTTTTATGAGAGGTCCTAGGTGTTCTCCGAGCTTGCTTGTTTTCTTTCATTACCCAAACTAGGTAACATCAGCTAGTGTATCAGTGTAGCACTGATGATGGGTAATAGTTTGGGTAATGAAACATCTGTAAGAAAACAAGCAAGCTAAGAAAGCACCAAGGATCCCTCAGCAATAATGTAACCAATCAGTTCTACACATACACACATACACAAAAAAAAATGGGGTAATTCTGGCATCCGAAATGACAATTTTCAAAAACATTTGGAGAAGCCTGCACCTTCAGAACCATCAGTTACTGAGTTGCACATGTACTCATCATCACATCAGATGAGTAACTATGTTTCTGCAGGGCTCCTGTTCACAGAATGATAGAAGACATGAGTAGGAAGGTGAGGCATTTCCTCTTGCAAGCCACGGCCTTTCAGAAAAGTGTAGATTTCTGGGCTTCTGGTTTGAGCTTCTTCGGCGACAGACTGAAATCTGCGATTGTGCACAATTTCGATCTGTGCTCACTGCTGGAGCGCCCCGAGCTTGCTGGTTTCGGGGCTAAGCCACCCCGTAGAGGTGGTGAAGAGGGGGGAGACTGCCAGCAGGGTCGAGGAGAGTTGCATCTCTCCTCCTCAGCTGACCATTACTCCCTTTCCTGAAGGCGGTTGCACCAGTGATCAGAAATGACCACCTCAAAGAAGAATTCGACTGGAAAAGAATGTGCAGGTGGAAGATAAGAAGAGAAAGTTTTGGCTGACCAGGACGAACTGAAAAAGCAACGATATAAGGTACCCTGGAATTTGAATGATAAAGAACAACATTGTTCCCAAAGAAGACTTTGAAGCGGCAAATGAGAGAGGGAAGGGAAAGGATTTGGTTTTTTTTCTTTTTTCCCCTATATTGACAACTAAGAGATTTAAGCAAGAAACTGGCAAAAATCCACTTTGACATTAACAGGTATTTAAGCTGAAAATAAAATGTAAAGGGTTAATAAAGATTTCTGATTATCAAAAACTTTTAAAAGAAGGAAAAAAACAAAAGGGTGGGATCTGGAAAAATGGAGGAGACCACCTGGAAGTGAAAGGAATTAGCAGTGAAACTAACAAGATTCCTAAAAGATACATTTTCACTGAAACTTTGTAACAAGATAAGAGAACCCCAGGAAGAGAAAGTGGAAAAAAGAAGCAAGAAGAAACAGCTTTGGATTATTTGGATTACTTGGTGATTTTTGGATTTTTGGCTATCGGATCTAAAGGACTAAAATTAATCGGGTGGTTGTTTAAAAGTTTTTAAAATGGTATCACTCTTGGAAGAATTGAGAATGGAACTTAAAAAACAGAAAGAAGATGCACAAGAAAGAAGAGGTTCTTTTGGCTTCGTATTTCGATTTTTAGAAATGGAGATCCTGAACTATGAGAAACAACAAGAAATGCCTGTAGAACAAGAAGGGAGGGACAAAGAAGAAGCCATTTTCAATGACCAAGTATTTTTATGTGGGGAAAAGAAAGGAAAGGGGGGAAAGAGAGTGAAAAATGTAAGATCTGAAAAAACAACCCAAAAAAAGAATAGTTTGAAAAGTAATTACAACATTAGGAAGAAACAGAAGAGAGGATTACAGAAGAGAGAATCAGAATTAGAGAGAGAAGGGGTCAAAAAGGGAAGGGAGAAGAAGAGGGGGAAGAGGGAAAGGAAAAGAAATTATAAAGGACAGAAACAGGACATAGAGAAACAGGGAAAACATACAAGGATTAAGGGTATAAGCCTATTTAGAAGACACAGAGATAATGGGTGAAAACTTAATTGAAAGGGGGATTCTGCAAGGGTACATAAGATGGTATTGTTATATTAGAAATAGAAATGAACTTTGAAAATATGAAACAAGTGTGATTGATAGATAAAATACTCATTGTAATGTAATGTTTAATAAATAAATGAAATAAAGAGAATGAGAGAATGAAATTAGGAAAGGAGGGGAACATTTTAATTATTATAAATGTGTTATAAAAATTTAAGTGAAGGGGAATATAAAAGAAACATGAAAAAAATATGGAAATATTATAAGTGTTCCTAGAAGTATGATACCCTATTGAAAAGAAATGTTAAAGATGTCAAAGATTATAACTAACATTAATGATAGAGCTGAATTGGAATAGAATAAGTATTTTATTTATTATTGTTATATATATAATTTCTCTTTAAGAACTTAGTACGTATTTTAAGAATGTACCAAGCAGAATTTGACTGGAGGTTATGTGTTATATTGAATGTTATAATTGTAATGGCATAAATTGAAGTTTAAATAAGAGTTGAATGGATAAAAATTAAAAGATACAAAGGTGTCATACTCCAATTAGTAACTACAGGGAAAAATTTTGTTTAATGAGAAAAGAAAATATGAAATTGAAACAGAACAGACAAAAGTATAAATATAATGACTAGAAAGATACTGAAACTTAGAAAAAGATATATATAATTGAATTTAGAAAGGAGTGAGATTAAAAGTAAGATTGAGAAAACTAAGGGAAGGGAAAAATTATTGAGAAAATGTTAAAATAGTAATAAGATATGGAATAGAACACAAAGATGAATGTGTGTCTGAATTGAATTTGTGTCTGTATGGAGAAGTGATAACCCAGGACCATGCTATTCTCAAAAAAAAAAAAAAAAAAAAGAAAAGAAATTTTACTTGTATTATGTTTTGTGAAAACCCAAATAATTTTTTTATAAAAAAAAAAAAAAGTGTAGATTTCTATCGTAGCTCTTTTTAGTTTTCTCATTTGAAAGCTTATCAAGAAAGGAGAGAGCAACCCTCAATAAAAAAGAAAGAAAGCCCAACTTTGTTTTTATATTTCCCCACATCCAGCCACAGATGTGTAAGTATGTGTGTGTGTGTGTGTGTATACATATGTGTCTCTGTTAGTCTTTGTTGACAACTGTGGCTGCTTGTTTTTGCTGTAATAGAACTATGTGAAGTGTTAGTACCACTTTATAATGCTGTGATAAGCCCACGTGTGGAATACTGCATCCAGTTTTGGTCACTACAATATAAAAAAGATATTGAGACTCTGGAAAGAATGCAGAGAAGAGCCACAATGCTGATTAAGAGACTGGAGGCTAAAGTTATGAAGAATGGTTGCAGTAATTTGGGTATGTCTAGTTAAGTGAAAAGATGGGCTGGGGTGACATGATAACAACATTCCAATATTTGAAGGGCTGCCACAAAGAAGAGGGAGTCAAGCTATTCTCCAAAGCAGGGTAGGAAGGTAGGAGAAGAAGCAATGGGTGGAAACTAATCAAGGAGAGAAGCAACCTAGAACTAAGGAGAAATTTCATGACAGGATAATTAATCAGTGGAATGACTTGCCTCTAAAAGTTGTGGGTGCTCCAACACTGATGATTTTAAAGAAGAGATTGGACAGCCATTTGACTGAAATGGTGTAGGGCCTCCTGCTTGAGCAGGGGGTTGGACTAGAAGACCTCCAAGGTCTCTTTCAACTCTGTTATTTTGTTATTCTGAATGATATTCGCATCTATTCCTGGAATAATTTTTTGAAAGTATCTGTCCTTTCTGCAGTTATACACTAGAGGGTGGTGGATTTCTTTCTTTTGCCATTTCCTAACCTATTCATACTTTAGATGAGTTGTGGCTTTTATGTAATGACAAGACTCTTGTAAGACTGAATATTCTTAAGCCCCAACTTTAGGAAACAACTGTGTTTGGATTGATTAAGTGCCATCAACCAGTTTTTGATCCTAGCAACCACATAGATTTTCTCCCCAAGGATCTGTCTTTTCAGGTCTTCTAACATTGCAGCTGTTGCCAGTGTAACTAAGTCCATCCACCTGGCTGCTGGTATCTTCTTCCATTCCCTTCCACCTTTCTCAGCATCAGAGCCTTTTCCAGATATCTGGATCATCACATAATGCGTCAAAAAATAGGATAATTTGAGCCTGGTCATTTATGCTTTGAGTGAGAACTCTGGATTGATTTGACTGATGAGCCATTTGCTTGGGTGGATTTTTTTGAAGGTGGGGGGGGGGCTGTCTATGGTATTCTCAGAAGTCTACAACACCAACATTCAAAGGGATCAATAGCAATAGCACTTAGACTTATATATACTGCTTTATACTGCTTTACAGCCCTCTCTAAGCAGTTTTAAAGAGTCAGCCTATTGCCCCCAACAATCTGGGTCCTCATTTTACCCACCTCGGAAGGATGGAAGGCTGAGACAACCTTGAGCCTGGTGAGATTCGAACTGCCAAATTGCAGGCAGCCGGCAGTCAGCAGAAGTAGCCTGCAGTACTGCAATCTAACCATTGTGCCACTATGGCTTTTTTCCTATCATTGCTTTTCCTATCTTGCTACTTCAACTCTGTGGAACTTTTGCTTCCACAGAATATCTCAGGGACTATCACGAGCAGTACTATTCTTATCATTGTAGATATAGAGACATCATATTTGAAATTCCTTTTCTCAGGCCTTTATGGCTGCTGTACAGTACCAAATATTAGTCTGCAGAGTATTTCTTTTTTTTTTTAAATCAAGTTTTATTAATTTTTAAAACACACAAATTATCATTATTCATTACATGTTTAAACCTTTTTTCATTGTCAATTTAACAAGTCAGATAAATTATGATTCTGTTTTAAACCATTTCCATACAACATACCAAAACCTCTTATTCAATTTCTCTTTACTTCTCTTTACTCTTATTCAATATCATTATTATTATTTCATCTGTTTCTTTCTGACTTAGTTACCATTATTCTCATTCTATATTTCTACAAGTTTTAACTAATTCTCCCCCCCAAAAAGACATATACACACAACACACAAAACATAAAAAAAATCTTTTTGGAAAGTAACTTGGACCCAGGTGTCTCTCTCTTCATGGACTTCAATTATATTCATGCTCATCTTACATATCATTACTTATTTTATTTACCATTCTAAGCCTTCTATATTAACTTCCCCACATATTTCACACTTCTTACTTCTATCTTAATTAATCATCTTAATTTGAATCATTATATTTATATCTTTTGTCCATTTTTTATCATCCCTTTGTCTCATTCCTTATAAAAAAAAAAAATAAGTTTCTCCTGAAATCATTAATCAGAGTATGATGCCTTTCTATCTCCCCCCTAAGTTAATCAAATTAATCTTTAAAATAATATCTAATACCCAATCCGATTTTGCTTGGTACATTCTATCTAACTAATACATCCAACATAATTAAGTACATAATTAGACAATAAATCCAAATATTAAAAAAAGATACTATAATAAAAATTTTATAATAACATCAATACCATAGTCTTATTAAACTCTTTAATTAAAACAATATTCTAAACCTCCCCTATTATTAAGTTTTAAAGCCAATCATTTTTAAACATTTTAACATTTTAATCTCTTATCAACTCTTAAACCATTACAATACTACCATCTCATCTTATGTACCTTGCAAAATCTTTTTTTTTAAAAAAAAATTATACTTTATCCATTATCCATAAAAAATTTCTTTTTTTCATTTAATTTCAAAACATTGTAGCTTTTCTCCACCTTTTCCCTTTCTTTCTTCTCCCAACAAACCTTTCTACCCCCCCCCTTCTTCTGGCCTCTGCCTTACCAGCTTCCCTTCTCTGTCGTATTCCTTTTCCCTTTTGTTTACTATCATCATATTGGTTTTGCACCTTATTTTTCCCTTTCTTAAATGTTTTTTTAGATCTTAAGTCCTTAAGTCCTTTAGTTTTCTTCTTTTCTCTTCTTTTCTTTTCTTTCTCTCTTCCTTCTTTCTGGATCAAATTCTGAGATTCATTAAAAATGGCTCCTTCCTTTCTTTCTTGTTCCTCTGCTGTCTTCATCTGTTGTAATGTTTGTTGATAATTAGTAAGCGCCATTTCTAAAAAAAGGAAAGCTTCTTCCACACCATCTTTACCATTTTTTTTGCTTGTTCATATTCTTTTCTTAGTTCCTCAACAGAAAGAGCCATTATAAATCTTTTCTTTTCTTTTCCCCTTCTTTCTTCTTACAACAACCAGAATATTCAAAAGAAAATAAAAAAAATAAAACAGTCCCAAAGTTATCAGTCAGTCCAAACCAAGGCAGAGTTCTCACTTTCTCCTTCTGGGGTAATATCAATCCAAGAGAAAGAAAGTCCAAATCTGTTTAAAATCTTATTACAATATATTCTAGTCTTCAAATCCTTAAGGCATCTGCTCCAACAAAGTCTTAGCATACAAATATTTTCTTTTTAATCCTCTCTCTTCCCACTCATCGCTTAAAACCAATTTTCACCTAAAAGAAATAGGTTTCTTAATATCCAGTTATTTATTCCGTAGGAAAAGAGGGAAAGCTATCCTTTCAGCACCTTCAAACAGCCGCTTTTTTCCTCTTCTGGCAGGTATTATTCAGAAAGTCATACTTTTCAGGAATTTTATTAAATATGTCTTAGAGTCCTAGGAGCCAAGAAAAACTTTCTCCTCTCAATCACTTTCTCCACTTCCTCCTGCGCATTCTTACCCGGCTGCCAGCTTCTTTGTGGCGGCCATTACAGACCGCCGCTGCACCGTCCTGGGAAAAGGGAGTTCTGCCGGCCAGGGAGGGGGTCTGCAACACCCCCAAACCCTTCTCCGGATCCCCCCTACCTTCAGCTGCCCCTGCAGGGCAGCCTAGCTCTGTACCCGTCTGGGTCGGAGCCCCAAAAACGGCTAGCGCGGCAGGGATCGCGCAGCTTCGCAAATCCCTGCCGCTCGCGAAGCCGACAAACCGGAAGTTCCAGTCTGCAGAGTATTTCTTGACAGCTTGTTCCTTTACTGTTGATGATTGATCCTAGAAGGCAGAAGCTACACTACTGTACTATATTCAATGCCAATTTTAAGGGTGGTTATTCTATCTGCTGTCCTTTCCCCCCTATCTGTTGTCCTAGTTTGCCCTTTTTATCTTTAGTTTTAGTTCTGGAGCTTGCACGTTTTTTGCTTTTTTGGCTATCAGGGCAGTGTAATCAGCATAATACAATTTATTGATGTCCCTTCCTCCAATTTTAAAATCAGAAATATCTTTCAATTCAACTTCCCTTAATAGGCATTCCGTGCAGGTAGTCTGTGCTTAATTACCATAACTGGCCCAAGGATTTCTGTTGCTAAGTGAAGGGGTCATTAGGTTAAACATCACATGACCACATCACTTAGTGATGGCAGTTCTGGTAGTCTCAGCTGAGGTTGTTAGGCCAGGACCATGCCACCATTCTCCTGTCACACTTCTCCTGTCTGCTTTGCTCATCTCCACTTCAACTTTAAAACTTAACAAATAGTTTATTTATATCTCTTGTCATAACAGGTACTATTCAATGTCAAAGGAGACTATAGGAGGCAGAAACTGAGGAGCAACCTTGACAAAATTATCAAAATACAACATTTCCAGTAAAAATATATTTATTTTGTGTGTAGACAGACCACAAAACATACGTTTTGTTAATGTTAAATTCCAAACAAACAAACAAAGAAAAGGGGGATATCTATTCAAAGCATAAGAAACAGTAGTGCATAAAATGTAAGAGTCAAATAAAGACATTTATGCTGATAAAACAGTTAGGACACTGAGGATATATCTGAACATTGTGGATTCTGGCCTGTTTGTTGGCCTGAATATTGAACAGACTGGCTTAATGTTTCAGGGCAGGTTATGTAACTCATAATTCTCTAACACCTTGCAGTGTTAGAGAATGGTGGCATGGTCCATCTCACGACATCTGCTTCTGGAGACAGTTGCTGCATTTTAATATTCACAGAACTTACCTGTACACACATTTAATTCATGTTAATAGGATTCCCCCCCCCCCAAAAAAGCTTTCTTAAACCAGACCTCTCTTTATCTTTTGAGTTCAACTCCTGCTTCCCCACACCAGAAACAATGACTTCATAATTCATACATACTTTGTTTCTTACAGTTTTTGCGATAAAAGTACCACTTCCTGTGTCCTATGCATTGTCTCAGTAAATTGTAATCAAGTCTACTAAAATCAAACAATTTTAGTGAAAGAAGAAGCACAGGTCTTCCCAAAGGTGCTTTTTCAAGAGGGCAACTGAACCAGTTCTGAAGAAGCTTCTTGGATGAGAAGCGAAACGTCTTCAAAGAAAAACCAGAAAGTCCAGTTGCCTCTTGAAAAAGCACCTCTGGGACAACCATGACCTGGATGACTGAGAATCTCCACAGACAACAAGAGGTCTTGTTTACCTTGTTTACCAGTATTGCTAACCTTGATTTATGCTGATTGTCCAGGATCTTAAATTAATCACAGGTCTTTAATTTTCTTATTGTTTGCTATCTGATCCTTCTATCAGGAAATATTAGGAATACTTCATGCAAAGCATGTGGGCTAAAACTCCTTTCTCTATATTAAGGCATCCAGGCATGACCAAAGAAATTCAAAGTATGAAAAACTTACTTTCTAAGACCTGATATTAAAACACCAGTCCAAGAAGGAAGGAACAAACAAACAAACAAACATGTAAGAGACACGTTCTGCCTTTCCTTGTTGATTAGGATCATCACAAAGGCAAAAACATGCTGTAAATGCTCAATTTTCTCACCAAATCCAGTGGCAGATAGAATAGAAAATCCTTATCCCAAGAGCAGGGATAGCAACAAATTCCAGTACCTGAGAGGGATTCTTTTTTGATGCATGAAATATTTTCTCAGGAGAACTAGAAGAATCAGTGCTCAAAAATCCAGAACAAAGTTTCTCGGACACAATCAGTTCTCAGTTCCTTCAAAGTTGCGTCTCCAGGAAAAGGCATGTCCAACTTCCAGTTTTTAAGCATTCACACTTGTAATGGTTCACTTCTCTGGATTTGTAATGGTGATGAGTCATACCTCATTAGCAACATAGTTTAAAACATCATCTTGAAGATGTAAGCCTGTTTTCTGCTCACTGGATTACATGTTAGTGTTGTAGTCATCCTACAAAGATTGAGCATCTCATATTAGCTGTACATATATATCATGGAAGGAGCTACATCTGTACATGTCCATGAGACAAAACACCAAGGAAGAACTATCCAAGATAGAAATCTTCTCTTTTTATATCCTCCTTTCCATGGAAGATCGTTTTTCTAATTCTAAACACAAAATACCTTGACATAATTTTTAACTGAACTGCTATGGAGATGAACATATAGTAATCCTCACAATACCCAAAGAGAAATCAAAGCACTCCTTAGAAGAGCTCAGTTTGTAGCCCTGCTTTACAGGGTAGTTTGAGATGGCTTATCTCATCCAATCTAGTGAGTTCATTACAAGAGTCATTTAACCTGGTCTATATATTAGCCAGTCTGGTGTAGTGTAGTTTTCTATACTACCCAGAGTCCACTGGAGTTGAGCAATCAATAAGTTTAAATAAATAAATAAAAATAATAAATGGTTAAGGCACTAGAACTGGGAGACTGTGAGTTCTAGTCCCATGTTAAACACAAAGCCAGTTGGGTGGCTTCAGGTTAGTCACTCAGTCTCAGCCCTAGGAAAAAGGAAATACAAAATTTTCACTTCTGAATATTTTGCCAAGAAAACTGCAGGATCCGATCCAGGCAGTTTTCAAGAATTAACACTAACTCAAAGGCATATGCACACATTCACACAACTAGACCTACCTTGATGCAAAAGGTTTTTAAATATTATTTTAATCTATATTAAATGGGGAAGATAAATCATGATTTGGCATGGAGATGGAGAATCATCTTAGCACATGAATCATGGTTTTCCCTTTGCAGGGCTGTAAAAGAGTGAGTATAAATCCTACAGTTTAGAGGAGGAGGAGGAGGAGGAGGAGGAGGAGGAGGAGGAGGAGGAGGAGGAGAAGGAGAAGGAGAAGAAGAAGAAGAAGAAGAAGAAGAAGAAGAAGAAGAAGAAGAAGAAGAAGAAGAAGAAGGAAGAAGAAGAAGAAGAAGAAGAAGAAGAAGAAGAAGAAGAAGAAGAAGAAGAAGAAGAAGAAGAAGAAGAAGAAGAAGAAGAAGAAGAAGAAGAAGAAGAAGAAGAAATAGAAGACTGACTGGCATGGAAATACAATGAGATCATCAAGGAAAATGAATATTTTAGCCCTACTGTTTCAAGAGATATGCCTAGTGGCAAAATAGCACCAAGGCAGTCTACAAAACCTGCATGATCTGTGTGAGGGGTAGATTTTTCTAAGTTATGAAGAAAAAGACTAACTGCTTACAGTGTCAGTGTGTGGCATGCTCTTTTCTTGGTTCCTGGCGATATAAGTAATTGCATCATGCACTGATGCAAAAAGGTGGCTCTTGGTTATGGTTTCATTGAAAAAATTGCCTCTTTCCAGCTGGGTAATGACAGTGCCTGCAGAGAGAAGAACAGTAAATTGCCTGACAGGGGCACCTCTACTATTTGTGGTGGGAACACTAGTGATAGATCCAGTCAGTGTTACATCTCATTTAGTCCAATAAATCTGGACTAAAGCAAGACTGGGGAAAGCTATCTTCCCGTTTTAATAAGGCCAGGCAAGAACATTTATTTTGCGAATTTCCTTCTTGTTTTTCTCACTAGAAGACCAGGAACTTTTACACCCCCTTTAACTTTGTACTCTCTTTCCTTGATCAAAATTACTTCCAGTTGTTACTCCATACTGCATACTGTATGCCTCCCTGAATCTGGTTGTGTTGAACTCCCACCCTCATATTTCCAGCTAGTGTTGCACAATACAACTGAAGGTCACAATCTGGGAGAGGCAATGCTATTAGCCTGGTGGGTGGCATGCTATGGGGAGACTTGTTTAAACTTTTGCTTTAACAGAAATTTCCACAGAGGTTGAGTTATACTTCAGAAAAAGGTTGATTTTTCCCAGGCTATCCTCATGGGACTCTTAAATAATTCCAAACGATGATATATGTATATCCTAGTTTTTAGTCAGATTGTATCTGGGCTGCAAAGGTATAGATTAATACTTAAAGGCAACAAATAATTTTTTTTGTCTCTTTACTGCCACTTAATGGCTTTCTGTATTTGCAGCTCTGACCCTGCTGGTCTGGCCTTTTGCTGAAACCCATACAGGTAGTCCTTGATTTAAGACTGTAATTGAGCCAGACAGTTATGATCGCAAGTCTTGACAGTTGTAAAGTAGATCATCACATGGCTGTACCCAATTTTACAACCTTGTTTGTGGTGGTCATTAAGCAAATGTGGAGGTTGTTAAGTTAATGTCACAGTTGCTGAGTGAACCCATTGTATGCCACTGGCCAATTTCTGCTGGAAACCGGAAGCAAACACTGGCAAAACCATCCTAAATCATGGCCATGTGACTGTGGGGTACTGCAAAGGGCCGTAAGTGCAGGCTGGTTGCTGAGTACTCAAAATGTGATCATGTAACCCCAGGGAGAGAGCTGATATAGGAACTCTGAAATCAGGTTGTAAGTAGCTTTGGGGGAGGGGGGTGTCCATGGTAACTTCTGTCGCTAAATGACCATTAGTAAGTCAATGCTGAAGCTCCTAAATGCCAATGAGTCAGACCTGGATAGAAAGATGAAGGCCTGGAGCCTAAAGAGGAACATTTGATTCAAGGTACACCTACTCTCAAGGTAATAACTTCCTTGGTGTTTCTTACCATGGCAACCAGCAAGAAACACATCCACTTCAATCTCCTGGAAATCTTTAAATATCTGCAGAAGGCAACAAAGCAGAAACAGCAGAGTTGAAATACAGGTATAAATATGTGTGTTTGGCCAGCTGGCCAATTTAGGCTAGGTCAGGAAACTGCTCATGGAGTTTTCCTTTAAGGTAGTACGATCCAGATGTTTTGCAGCTGGACTTCCATTATCCCCTGAGAGCACACTAAAGGGAGTTAAAGTCCATCGCAATGGGAAGGTGCAGAGTTGAAAAGGATTTACTAGAAAGTTATTTCAACGAGTCATATTCTCCCCCTCCATTTGTTCTTTCAATCCTTTTCAGTTTAGTGAAGTGGCCCTGAGCAATCCTCCACGGGAAAGAGCCTTATTTCTGAAAAGCTGGGGAAATAAATCTTGGCATTTTGAGTTCCTTCCAACCACTTCAATTACAGCGCACATACACGTGCTGGGGAGAAGCGACCAAAGCAGAGAAATTGATTTAAGCAGTCAGGAGGAGGCAGGAGAGGTCAGAATTTGCAGCGAACTCAAAAACCCCTTCAGTCCAGAACTCAGCTGGAGAACCCAATCAACTTTAGCATTTTGTACATATGACTAATACATATAGATGTTACGTTCAGTTTCTTCCCTCCAACAAACAGGAACTTGGAACAAATGTGGAATTTTTGTCAGATTCTCAGGAAGAAAAGAAAGCAGTGAAATCTATACTTCATGTGGGCAATGCAGTGGTGTATTAACTATCAAGCAGACTAAGCACGTGCTTAGGGCACTAGGCCCAAAGGGGGCACCACAAAGTTGAGAACATGGCTTTGTTTGTACAATATGTACAAAGGAGGGGGGAGCACCAAGATTTGTCAGTGCTTAGGGCACCAGTGAGCCTTAATCTGCCACTGGGGCAGTGGCATTTATTCCTTGCACCTTCCTCCTTCAAGGTCTGTTGACCTTTCTTCCCAAATGTGGCACAGCCATACACCTGAAAGCTCTCCTCATCCTTACATTTTTTAAGGTCTTTACGGAGACAGTGTCCACAAAGGTGACAGAACTGAAGTCCAGAATGAGTGAGTGGATAGAAGGCTTTTCCAGCCCCAGTCCATTTAAACTGGGTTTGCCACATGATTGTGGCTGGTGATGATTTGGGGGGTTCCAAGCCATCACATTTCCATTGCTTTCAGTACCTGTTATGCCTTCCTCTGGTTCCTGCAAGGAAGGAGAAGCAGAGTTGATTACTTGGAGAGATTCTCCAGGGGTTGTCTTTACTCTTAAGAGTATGTGTGGCGTGTGAGAGGTGTGGACTGAGTTCTGCTGGAAACGTGGACAAATCGTAATCATATGTTGGGTTCTCACACCTTAACTTAGAACCCAGAAAAATGTTCGGAACGTCAGAGGATTCAGATGCTAGCTTTTTGAGGCAATGAACAAGGACATAGGGGGTATGCAAATTTCCCTAGGGAAAAAATATATATGAATAAACTGGATCTTCTTCTTGTATTTATCTTAATAGTGGTTGTATCACGTTGAAAGTACTATCATGACAACTTACTAGCCTGGTAAAAAACATCTCACTACTTTTTAGTATTTGAGAGCAATAAAGTATCTGTGTGTGCATGTACCTGTGTATGTGTTTGTGCGTGCATGATCATGTGTATATGTGTGAGCACAGTGGTACAACATCTCAGAATTGCATTGTTTTGTCAGAATGCACCTGTCAAATGTCCAAAAAGTATATTTAGTGAAATGTATTGTGAACAGATTATATAGCTATAAGTATTACATTGCTAACTGCACAAATAATACTGTGTATGATCAGGCACTGCTGAGAATAATGAATATTAGGTCCATACAAATCAGTGAGAAATCTATTTGTGGGAAGGGATAATGTGGATCAGCTGAATATTGGTACTGTAATTAAAAAGTTGCCTTGTATTGGTAAACATACCCGTATATACTCGAGTATAAGTCGACCCGAATATAAGCCGAGGCACCTAATTTTACACAAAAAACTGGGAAAACTTATTGACTCGAGTATAAGCCGAGGGTGGGAAATGCAGCAGCTACTGGTAAATTTCAAAAATAAAAATAATTAATTTGGGAAACGATCTCACTATCATGAAAGGTTTAATTGATTCACTAACCCAAAAGAAGAAGATGATGATGACAGCGGGAGGCAGGAGTCACTCTCTTCCCCTCCCTCGGAGGCCCCCTGAGTCAGGAGTCACTACCGCCGGCGCGGCCCCAGTCCCGCCGCCTCGGGAAGGGAAAGGCAAAGCGCTTTTTGCCTTTCCCTTCCCGGCTGGGGCTGTTGGGAGTCTCTGCCGCCGGAGGCCGCGACTCCACACCATTTTTTTTTCAGAGGGGAATCTGACTCGAGTATAAGCCGAGGGGGATTTTTTCAGCACAAAAAATGGGCTGAAAAACTAGGCTTATACTCGAGTATATACAGTAAGTATGATTTCATCAGGTGCATCTCTATCAATTGAATGGGATAGCTCTACCTCTTTCATCTCTACCTACAGATGTCCCTCTCAACTCCAGTTTTTGATCTGAAATCTCAGATCCTGGAAAACTTCGACTGGAGAAAGCATCACTTGTAAATCCATATTGACATAGGAAGCTCAGCAAAGACTTACCACTTTTGTTGCATGGTTATTGAACATTTAATGTCTACTTTGCTAGGTTTTGAAGCTAAAGGTGCTCATTTACATAGAAATGCATACATACAGTATGCAAATGGGTTTAATCAGGTATAGTAATGTTCTAAATGCCTAGGCAATGTTGCCTGCACGTTCTCTTTTTAAAATGATTGTACATGGTACAGTACTTGTGACTTTGCATCCATCTCCACATCCTCAAATCCAGGGTTGTTTTCTCCAGATTTTTTAGCAGTTTTCTGTTACCAAAAAACAAGAGGAAAACATATATCACAATGTTCACAGAACTTTGTCTTCATATGACATTTTAAGAAACATAGAATTAATTTTGAATCAAGGAAAAAAAATCACAAAAGTTATGACAACGGTATGTTGGTGCCATGCTATGCCACAGTAGCTTAGTGCACAAGCTACAGTTAAAACAAATGAGAGTTCAGTACAGTATGTGAACAAATAATGGTGTATATCCAAAGCTGAATAAAGACTTTGTTTTTCTCTACATAAACTGTTGATGTGGAACTGATAGGGATATTGATTTTGGCTAAACCTGACTCTTAGGATTTTTGCTCTGTGTTGCGTCAATAAAGCAGAGAGTTGTAGACCTGCGGTGCTCTGAGAATAAGAGTTTTCAATATCATATATGAAAATATGGTGATACAACAGTCCAGCCAGCCAGCCTGCCAGACCTCTTTATCCACGTCTATTTGTAAATAATGGGGATGCAGTATACAAAATATTTGAAAGGCTGCAGATTAGTGAAGATTAGTTTGATCTCTTTCTTCCTTTTTTGATTATCTACAGATAAACCAGATCCAGGTGTCTGTGTGGAAAATATTCTGCTTGGAATTTAGAAGAAAAAAAGACCACTAGTCAGAAAATGTACCTTGGCTTCTTTTTTGTCTTTCTTTTGCTTCCTTTTCAGAGCTTTCATCTTCTTTTCAATGAGATGACACACATCAATGCCACACTATATAAATAAAAAAGACAAGTACTTATATCTCAGGAAGCAATGGACAGCTGCCAGTTTTCTGGTGCATGATGGGCTGTGGTCAAAAAGTCAAGATGGCAGACACAATGGTAAGATTGAAGCTCGGCCTGTTTTTGCATATCATCAGTATCATCAATTTGATATGCATCAATGCATATCAAAACCAGGCAGAGCTTTGATTGTATTGTTACGTTTCCCATCTTGATATTTTTTTTTTTAAATCATATCCTGCAGGTATTTTTGGAAGACACCAAGATCCATTTTACTCATTTTCACTTCACCAGGCTTCTTAACAGAAGCTTTGTATGATGGGGTTTACACACTGAGAAGGCTCCATTCAGGGTTTAAGTAAATTGATATTTGAAATAATCTGATGGATTGATATCTGGTAAGAAAAGTTTCACTAAAGAGAAAGCTATATATGTCAGGTAAGTTCATGATTAGATTATGCCACTATAGGGTCTGCTTAGCTGTGAGGACAGCCTAGAAACATAATTTATTTCAAAACAGAAGATAGGAGCTATTAATTGGCACCAGTCATTGATTAAGAAGACTGTTGATATGTGATAAAGACCTTTATTAATTTTTGGTCAATTTCTGAATATAATTCAGGGAGCTGCTATTTACTTACACAGCCTGGGAGAAGCTGTGACTCAGTGGCGGGATTCAATTTTTTTTTACTACCGGTTCTGTGGGCGTGGCTTGATGGGCATGGCAGGGGAAGGATACTGTAAAATCTCCATTCCTATCCTACCCTACTAACTTGCTTTCCAGCTCCATTCTGCTGTGCAGGGCAACAAAAGAAGACCCAGCCGATCAGCCGGGACTTGGGAGGCAGAGAATAGATGGGGGAGGGGCCAGTCAGAGGTGGCATTTGCCAGTTCTCCGAATTACTCAAAATTTCTGCTACCGGTTCTCCAGAACTGGTCAGAACCTGCTGAATATCACCTCTGCTGTAGGTGATTGGGGAGTGGATTGGAAATGACTTTTCTTTTGTCCACTTGTTATCATTCACAACGCTTTTCCTCAGAGGCTGTTCTCTGGCTGTCTGGGAATATGGCAAAAGGATTTGGGAATGGGAAGAAGGTTTCTGAGGAGGATGACTGCCTTCAAAACTTTCATTATCTCTCATGCATGAGGCAAAAACCAATTTGTTTCCCCCAGCTTTTGGCATCTCACACAGTCCACTCATTCACCAGTATTATTTTATTTCTTATCATCAGTTATGCACCACCTTGGAAATTCTAAATTAGAAGATGACACACCAAGGTTTACAATAAGCTGTAAACAGGGAAAGTAAACTCAGAATTTAATCAGAACATTGAGACAGTTGGGCAAATTGAAGTTCCTACAAATTTTTCCTAGTCTGCATCATCAATTAAAAACATATTTTACTCCAAGGGAGGAAATGTACGTACATGCACACACACACACACACACACACACACCCTCAGGAAAATTTATAGCAATTTTGATATGCCTGAAAGTGGATTTTGATAAGAAATGCAGGTTGACCCTTGCCCTGCTTTTAATGTTGTTGCTTTAATTCAGAGCCTTTCATCGTTTCGTAACATATTTGGAATAAAAATGCACGAAGCGAAGCATTTGATCCTGTTGATTTCAGGTCAGTGAATCAAATGTACCACAAGGGCACTCCCACGCCAGGGTTGAAAGAGCATCTGTCTCTGGATTCCTTCTCGGTGGAATACAACCCAAAGTTATTTGACAGGTCATAGATTGCCATGAATGAGCAACCAAGCAAATACAAGAGCAAACTCTTAAGTTTTCTCACCTTTTTTTTAAGGGCCTCTGCATACAGTTCAGCATTAGCAAAATAGATAGTAGCAGAGGAGTGGAAAATTTTCACACCTGGTATTTCCTTAGCCTGTGGGATAAAAAAGGAACCCAAATGTTAGGAAAAGAACATTATTATGGGGCTAATATTCAAAGACCAGAATAAATAGAACTTGATCAGGAACTCCATCTATTTATTTTCAAAAAAACAAGACAAAACCCAGAACATCAGGATATGTGTAAAATAGGATCTAAAGATGGTGGGAGTCTGATCCAATCCAGACATGATAGTTCCGGGCCTGATCAGGCCATTATAATTTAGAATATTTTTATTTTTTTCCACAATAAGAAAGAAAAGACTGACAGGAGACCAGCTTCCACAAAAGAAGCAGAAATGCTGGGCAATAAGATTGCTCTTGATTGTAAGCGCAGCAGTTTTACCGATCATTCTCTGTTGTTTTACTGGGCACATAATTTCTCAGAATTCACAGGGAGGCAGTGTCAGCTGTGTCATTTAAACCCACCATAATAACTATAATTCTTGGCTAGAGGAGGTTTCGCAGAGGATTAACAAGCACAATATGGACTCTGCCCCTGCAGGGATCGGGGCCTAATTGTGCCTTCACGGTGGTGATCTGCATTTGTGGATCAGCTTGCCCATTCCGAACTGCAATACTTCTTCCCTGGAGGGTTTCATAGGACTGTAAAAACTTGACTATTCAATAGTATAGGAGATATTATTTAGTCCTGCTCCCGGTTATTTATTATAATAATATTGCAATAAGATAAGCAGGAATTAACTCCAGAGGAACAATCCAGTGGAAAACAATACCTTAATTAAAGAACAACCAAAGAGAAAACCACATTCTCATCAAAACTGGCAGGGCAAGCCACTGCATATAAATGGAGAGTAAACCCCACAGTCAGTAGTACTGAGGATGTTACCTACTCAGGTAATGAAATGCCTGCAAGCAAATAACCAAGTTCAGAGAGCACCAAGTACTCCACAATATTATGTGCTGTGTTGCCTGTTTATAAAATAAATGATCTTTAATGCATTGCCTTGTAAGTTGCTCAGAGCCAGTCTGGAAAGAGTGGCATAGAAAGTTTAGTAGTAAATATCCTTTTTCTATACAGTTCCCGACAACTATCTCTTTTAATCATTTTCATGATATACTTACTTTATGATACTCAGCAATGTCTTTGTAAATTCCTGTGGTGGACACTTGCCCCAAAATGGAATAATAAGGCCTTAGGAAAGGAATAAAAGAGAAAAAGGATTAGCAAATGGTTTGACCTGCTCTCATAATAGGTCATTTTGACATCTATATCTGGAATTCACATGGAAAAAGAAGCTGCTTGTTTATATAGTTATATGTCAAAGTTTCTTTACCAGATTTTGTATTAATTGTTTATAGAAGTAATTTTAGATAAATCATCTTGTCAGTGAACATGCCAGCCAAGTATGATGACTCTTTTGAATGTTACCCATGACCAGGGGTGGGATTCTACCACTTCACATCTATTCGCTAGAACCGGTTGTTAACATTCTAAGCAGTTTGGAGAACCGGTTGTTAGAAGAAATTACTGGCCTAATCCTGTAAGGAAGGCAGGAAGGAAACATTCTGGTGTTGCTTACAGAAACTGCCTCTCCATTAACCCTTATTACATTCTTGGCAGGACCAGACTTCCTGTCTCAGGAACTTCTCTGGAGTTGTTTTCCCCTCCTTTGCTGGTACTTTGCTTATGTGGAGTGATCATTCAAAGTTACAATGGCACTGAAAAAAGTGACTTGTGACCATTTTTCACACTTACGACTGTTGCAGCATCCCCACAATCATGAGAAGCCAGGCGAGGAGATGCATGCCTCGATGTGAGTGATATTGAGTTGGCCACGCCCAGCCAATAACATGACCACCAAGCCATGCCCACCACCTAAGCCACGCCCACAGAACTAGTTGTTAACAAATTTGAATCCCACCCTGCGCATGATACTGAGAGATTGCAATAATGAAAAAAGATGTAACACAACCCTTTAAGTATTTATACTCTGATTATGAAGAAAGAATGGTTTATATGCCTTAAATCTGTTCAGCTAGCACAGATTAGATTAAACATATAGATTTAGCATATAGTTACCAGTAAATACTAAATCCCAATACTTTGGTTGGATATATAATTATAAGGTGCTTTTCTTGGTTCATTGTAATAACAGAGTTTTGATTTAATTATATATACAGTATGTACTGAAATTTGCAGTTCCATCAATAGTGAATTGGAGTCTGTCTTCTGCTAAATACTGCTGAACTTCACCTTCCTGCACCTCCAGGCAGAATGGCCAATGGTGATGGATCTGGGAAGTGTAATTCAGTAGCTTTAAGGGACCACAGTTCCCATGTTTACCTTTGGCTAACACACTCTGATAATTTACACACACACACACACACACACACACACACACACAGAGATATTACTTGCTTACATTGTTCTGCCTCTCAGTTTCTTAATATTATCTTACCTTAGAACAAATCAAACTGAATCTTTTGAAATGGGACAGAATATAAATGCCTTATATTACTGTACTATAAAAGTCTAGTAGAAAGCAATTCCCAAATCTATTCCTCCCATTATCTTGCTACCTAGTGTAATACTCACATCTGAGTCCGGAAGATGACAGTGAAGAGTGAAAATGTCACAGCTGCTGCCAGTCCCAAGTCAAGATTCAAGAGTAGCGTAGCGATAAAAGTTACAAGCCAGATAAGCTGGAGGGATGAGAACGAGAGAATAACAACAATACTGAAGGCATCACTGGAATTGCCATTTAGTTTTAGAAGAGGGAGACATTTCAGTAGTTGTTATTTTTGACTTATGTTAGCAAATATGAATTGGTGCAGAATAGCATCCCATTGCAGCTGGCCAGTGGTCCTGCCTAACCTTGTTGACCCAAAGGTACTTTTTCAAGAGCAACTGGACTTTCTGGAAGTCTTGAAAAAACATCTTTGGGACAACCATTACTTAGATGACTGAAAATCTCTATAGACAAGTAATCTGGTTGAGGTATCTAAAAAGATGAAAACAATTGGTTTTATATCAGGTAGGCTACTGATGGTGCAGAGATGCTTTTAATTAACTTTATAGGACATTGTTATTGTTCCATTGTATCTTAGCTATGGGATACATAAATATGAAGATGATTGTTTCATTGTAATTTATTTGAATTTGTGAGCTGCCCAGAATTATTGAGATTTGGGTAGTATACAAATTTAATTCTCCTCCTCCTCCTCCTCCTCCTCCTCCTCCTCCTCCTCC